TGGTGGCTTAGGGGTTAACTCTCAGCATTATCACTGCTACAGCCTGATCTTCATCTTTGGCCAGGGTGGTGACCTACATGGCACAGCATACCTCTCCTTTCTCACCCACTGCTCTCCTCAGCAAATTTCAGTATTTCAGTAAATCTACCCCACTGTCTCTGATGACTCCTGTTACCCACTCCTTCTGCACCTCTGGCTTCACCCAAGTTCTTCTAAGCAAAATACATACATACATACATACATACATACATAAAATAATGGGAGAAAAATAATGACACAATTTTTAAAAAAGGTTTAAACTGAGTCATATTATAATTAACTGCCAAAAGTCAAAGAGAGGATATTTTGAAAACAGCAAGAGAAAAGTGACTTGTCACATATAAGGCAACACCAGAAAGACTGTCATCAATACTGTGGGTAACGTAAGCAGAGGGACAGAAATTCTAGGAAAGAATAAAGAAGAAATCTAGAGATCAAAAACATTGTAACAAAGATGGAAAAAGTGCTTTGGATGGGTTTCTTAGTAGTCAGAGCTTATTATTGGCATCTGAACTTGAGGCTATGTCAACAGATACTTTCAAAACTGAAATGGAAGATACAAAAGAACAAAATATCCAAGAACTATGAGACAAAAAGCATAACAGATATGGTATGGGAATACTAGAAGAAAAAGAGAGAAAGGAGAATTTGGAGGATGTAAAGGGCTCTTGATATCAAAAAGTTTGAGAACCACAGTTTCAAACATTTTAACTTAAAACATATAACTTGGGCTCTCCCTGTTGGCACAGCAGGTTAAAGCACTGCATTATGAAACTCTCTGAAGCTACTGCAGCACGAGTTCAATCTCCAGCCAGGGAGCTGACCTACAAGGCATGGCAGACCTCTCCTGACCCGCCTGCTGCTCCCCTCAGCAGTGTACTTTGTCAATCTGCCTGTTCTGTCCCCCACTCTGTCTCTGGTGAGTCCTCTCATCCACCACACCTCTGGCTTGTACCACAGTTCTATAAGCATAAATGAATAAATTTTTAAAAAGCATACAACTGGACTGAACTTATTTGCAATTTTTTTGCTACAGAGATTGAGCCTTTTCTTGCCTATGAATCAGACTCTTAAATAAACCCCACCCATAACACATTGCTTACAAGTTTCAATTCAAAGTTAATTTGAATCCATTTCCAAAAGAGCCAAAGTGCAGGAACTGTCTAGCATTTTTGTAATCCCCCTGAGATTTGCTATGACAGCAATTTATTTTAACAATTTGTCTTTAATGAGTTTAGCCAAAGCATTTAACTTAATTTTCATAAAAACAACTTTCACCCTCTTTTCAGCTCAATTTAAATCAAATTAAAATAACTACAAAATTAACATTAGGCTGGGGAGCCAGGACCCACCTCTGTGTAGCCCCAGCTGGTAGAAAGAGACAGGCCGGGCAGCCTCTGTCCCTGGGCCTCACTTGCCAGCGATGCTGGTGCCAGAAGAATTGGGTAGTGTCAGTTAATCCGGGGGCCAGTTAAAGGAGGCCGGTTAAGGCTCTTCTCAACAAGTGACAACCACAACTAATATTGGCCCCCTGTCAACTCAGACACTGTTCCACACAGCCCTCAGTTGGGAAGATTTCTTATTTCTCTCCACACCCTCCATTCTGTCAGAGTGGTGAGCATAGAATAACACTATCAAAGGAAGTCATTGCTTCCACTGTATGTCTGCACGACCCTTCCTCCCCCAACCCCTTTGCTAGTTTAGACACCCTCCCTTCCTGTCTCTTCTGTTTTGTTTTTTCCTTTCCTTCTCTTGGTTTGGAAATTCTGTCCTCTGTTCAACCTTTCTCTTTATCTCTGATCTGTCTTTGAAACTTATTATCTCTTCTGACAGTTCTCCCACACTGGGAGTCCTCATGTTTTACTCCCCCTCCAGCCCTTCCCTGCTTCTGGATCCCACGCAATTTAGGGGCCCTAGACAATCATCTCACAGGCTATGCTGCCACCAGGACCTTTCTGGGGATCAGATGCCATGCTGCATGATCCCTGCTTGCTTTCTAATGTGTGGTGCTGACCCCTGGTCCTTGTCTCCCTGCTTTCAAGGGCAGAGAGCAGTCCACTCTGGACTGGTGTTGAGGAGCTGTGGTAAGGGCCACGGATCCTGGAGCAGGTGGCTGGCCTGGGCCTGTCAGGCAGAGCCAACCTTCTGCCTCTTATTTTGACATGTTGCAGCTTTGCAGACAACTGCAGAGCCCCCTCTAACAGACAAATCATTGTGGTCAAAGCAAGAGCTCAGTTAATGGCTACTTCTAGGACGGTTGGTAGGGATAGGATGGGAACTTTCTAACGGAAGGAACATTTCTTTGTAGTAAGAACTAAGATTTATGTAGAGTGTGGAAAACTTAATTTAATTGGGTTTGTGGTACACAGGCCCTGAACTCCTGTGAGGCCTCTCACTAAACTTAAAATTGTATCTGGGATTAAAAGTGACTCCAAACAACCATCCTTCTAAATTGCTCCATAGATCCTTAAATGAACCTCAGGATAGAGGACGAGGGGCAGGGCCCTGAGTGTGCAGGCTGGACAAGGCTGCCAGAGCACTGTCCCTCCTGGGCACTGTCATCTCACTGGGCATGGAGAAGTCCACAAAAGGAACTGCTAGAACAGCTTCAGCTACAGTCACCCTAAATTGTCTTTGCCTGCCTGTGACATCAGAAGGGACTTAGCTCCAAGAGAACCAAGTTGAATTTGCTGCATGTTGCCAGACACAGCCCTTCCTGAAGGGCTTGGTCAAGGCAAGAGGTCGAGCCATCACCTTGAAAGCCAGGAATCTTCCAGCCTGCTTGCCATGAGACTCTATCTATTCAGGTGAGTTCCCACCTTCACCATGATTCCTCCCCACACTGCATACAGAGTGTTCTCTCTGGGTCCAAATTTTCTTCAGGCCAGTGAGGAGAAGAGAAGGTGATTGCACGTGGAAAACTGGTCATGACTTCCACATCCCTGCAGGGCTTTATAGGAGGAAGAGAGTTCAGTGTCCTACCTTAGAGTCTAAATCGCTCTCTCGCTCTCTCACTCTCTCCGTGTGTGTGTGTGTGTGTGTGTGTGTTTCTGGTCCATATAAAGGAATACTTTTCCAATTATTAAGACTTCCCTGTGCTCAAAGCAGATGTGGAAAAGCTGTCTTCCTAGAAGATATTTCTACCATGGAGGGAAAGAGACAAGATTGATCATTTGGGAACTTTTTTGCCAGGTTTGAGATCCTCCAGTCAACTAATAAGCCTAAAAACAGGTCTCTTTCCTCCAAATATTCCCAAAACCCATAGTTAGTCTCCTCTACTGTTGCAGGGGGACACTTCCGACAGTGCTTAGTTTGTCCCCCAATGTTTTCCAACAGGTACAGTGTAAGTCACAGAGGCAACACCCAGCTGGGGGACAGCTCCCCATCTACCATCTTCAAGATGCCAGGCAGGCATCTTGGAGAAAGGTATGGTGCTACATTTGTCATGAGTGTCCTAGGGTGAGCGGGCATAGAATTGGTCAGAACCGGTCCTTTACTCCACCAAGCTCTGCTGTGGCACAAATGGAGGTACAATTGGAGTGGTGAGGGAGGAGCCAGGGCCCCCTGTGCTGTCCCTGCCTGGGAGCCTCTCCCAGCTTTGCTGAGAATTTGCTCATCCTTAACATGAGAACTCAAGGCTTGGAGTTTCTATGGTGACTGCGAGTACCCCCCTCCCCCCACAGATTCCCTCCTCCTCCTCCATCTGTTAGACTGGGTAGAATTGTCTGCCTTTTTTATGGAGGGAGTGTTAACTGTGGTGTGAATGGTCAGTTCAGATATCGTGGGGCCTGGGGGAGGAGCTGTGACTTATAAAGCAGTTCCAACCCCATAAAGCCCCATCACAAAGCCATAGATGCTCACTATACAAGACATGAAGGACTTGTCCTTGGATTCTGTGCCTGCCCCCTAGCCCTGGGGCTGGAGCAGACTGACGAAGCTGCAGTGCAGGGGACAAAGGTCAGGACATGCTTCAGCTGACATCTCCACAGCCTGTCAGCTGGAATCTCTACTAACAGTTGGGTCACAACCCAACACACAGAAATGAAATGTAAATCAGAAACCAGTAACAAATGTGAATATTTGCAGGATCAGTCCCTCAACCTCCCAGCCCCTGCTCATCACATTCTCTCCATGTAGAACCCCCAGGACATCAAATTGTCGTCAGAAAATTATTATATGTGCTCAGAATTAGAGCAGGGTTTGGGGGTGAGTGAGATCATATCAGCAGTCAGCAACACAGAATACAGACACTTGAAGTCGAAGGACATAGCAGGGCGAGTTTGGGGATAGGAAAGACAGCCCTTTCAAGTTAACTTATATCAGTGGTGAATTTTTTATTTTATTTTTATTATTTTTAAAAAGACTTATTTATGCATACAGAAATGGGGTACAGACAGGTGCAGGGGTGGTGAGAGGATTCAGCAGAAACAGTGGGGAGCAGAACATGCAGATTGACAAAATACACTGCTGAGGGGAGCAGCAAGTGAGACAGGAGAGGTCTGCCCCGCCATGTGGGTCAGCTCCCGGGCAAGGATGGAACTTGCAGAAACAGCCACAGCTTAGGTTTAGCTTCACAGTGCAGCGCTCCAACCTGCTGCACCTCCAGGGAGGCCCCGATGGTAAGTTTTTTTAATCAAATTTTGGTAATTTACCAAACTATACAATTTTGGAAGTACAATATCACATGAGCACATGTTTAACTTGCTCTCCAGCAAAACTCTAGCACCAATACACTATCACATCCCCTCTTCCTTCCCCCTTTTTCTCTGGTAACCATTGTATTTTTCACAGTTACAGTGAACTTTATTCCTTAGATATTGATATTATAAATTAACATCTCAATGGGTATATTTAATTACAAGATGCCCTGTGAGCATCTCACTGCAATAAATAGCCACTGATCCCTATACACATACTTATGCTGTCCTCAGTTTTCCTAAGGGTAGAAAACAGAAATTAAAATGAAACTGGCCAAACAACCTATTGTGGCAGGCTTTGTGCTGCTGAGGTTGTCAGATCACCCAAGGCCGGAGAAAATGTTCTTTGTGCTCATCCTGCTGATGTACCTGCTGATCCTGCTGGGCCACGGGGTCCTCATCCTGGTGACCACCTTTGACACTGCCTGCACATGGCCATGTACTTCTTCCTGGACAACCTCTCCTTCCTGGACATCTGCTACACAAATTCATCCATCCTTCTAGTCCTGGAGGGTCTCCTCACTCCCAGGAAAACTGTCCCCCTCTCAGCCTGTGCTGTACAGGTGTTCCTCTCCTTTACCATGGGAGCCACAGCATGTACTCCTGGGCGTGATGGCATTTGATCACTACGTGGCCAACTGCAACCCCCTCAGGAACTCTGTGGTCATGAGCAAGGCCGCCTATGTGCCCATGGCTGTCGGCTCCTGAGCAGTTAGAGGAGTCAACTTGATAGTTCAGACATCTCAGGCAACAAGACTGTCCTTCTGATGACAATATCATCAACCAATTCACATGTGAGATCTTGGCAGTCCTGAGGTTGGCCTGTGCTGACATCTCCACCAATGTCATCAGCATGGGAGTGGCCACTATGATCTTCCTGGGGGTCTAAGTGCTATGCATCTTTGTCTCCTACGTATTCATTCTCACGACCATCCTGAGAATCCCTTCCGCTGCTGGGAGGAAGAAGGCCTTCTCTACCTGCTCTTCCCACCTCACCATGGTGATATTTTGTGGCACCTTATTTTCAAGTATGCCAAGCCCAAGTCTAAGGATTCACAGGGGACAGAAAAAGAGCAGCTTTCGGACAAGCTCATTTCATTGTTCTATGGGGTGGTGACCCTCGTGCTCAACCCCATCATCTACAGCCTGAGGAATAGGACGTGAAGGCCGCTAACCTGGTGAGTCGGAAGCACTTCAGCCAGTGATATAGCTGAAGTCCTTGTCATCCTCACCTACTGAGACAACAGCCACTGGAGCGGGCCCTCATGTGCCCGACCTGTGGCATGAACTGGTACCCACAATGGTTGTGCTATTCTTACCAGATTCGCCTAAGAGGCAGGGAACCAAGAACAAGTGGAAACCTTCATTGTAGGCTTTTGTTTATTCGCTTCATTTTTGCCTGAAATGCTAAGAGACATAGACAAATTCCCCACACAGAGAGTTTTTAGGTAGGAAAAAATGTTTTGATTAGCTGAATTTCTGCTATGAGAAAATGAAGGCTATTTGTCATTAAGATGCTAATCAATATAGCAAACTAGCAAATTAAACAGAAAAAGTAGTACAGAATTTGAATATGATAGGCATCACTTACAGCAATATCCTGTAGAAAAAGCAGTTAGACAATAACTGACATTCAGAAAAGAAAAAAGATTGGTTAATGATTGATTGATTGGTTGGTTGGTTGATTTGATAGTAGATACATGAAAGGAAGGAAGGCAGGGAGGGAGGGTGTTAAATATATGATAAAGATCAGGGTAAAATTTAACAGGTTTCTTTACTCTAGGTATTGTCAGAGCCTTTAATATGCTAAAGTAAACTGTGATTGTCCAAAAGATATAAAGTCTGTAGAGTTCCTTGTACCTCCATAGAACAGCACAATAAAAATTAAGGAGCATTTTCTTTCCTTCTTAGAGCGTTTGCTTAACTTCTACTTCCTCATATGTTAAAATCTAGTCCTTGGTTTTACATGAATTAGATAAAAGACTATAAGTAAATATTTGTAATGGTAAGTACAATAAAAATATAAGCTATAATTAGCTTTCTTATGGATGTTACATAGTGCTATGTGCTATGTACTATGTAGGAGGAACAAGAAGTAGTTTCTATCCAGAACTATAGATACAGAGGGCAGATGAGAGATTCAGAGATAGCAATAGATGGATAAAATGTTTTTTGTTTTTTTT